GTACTGAATTGGATCTAGAATGATGTGTGCCAAGTTTGGTGAAAATCGGTTCAGATTTAAATATAGCTCCCATATATATTTTCGTTCGATTTAAGATAAACGGGGCACCAAAGTATTCGATTTGCATGAAATTTGGCATAGGGTACTGAATTACGTTCAGAATGATGTGTGCTCAATTTCGTGAAAATCGGTTCAGATATAGATATAGCTCCCATTTATATATTCGTCAGATTTAAGGTAAATGGTGCTCCGACGTCCCTAAATAACTTTCGATTTGCACGAAATTTGGCACAGCGTACTGAATTAAGACTAGAATGATGTGTGCTAAGTTTGGTGAAAATCGGTTCAGATTTGGATATAGCTCCCATATATATTTTCCAGAGTCTGTATTTATCTTTCGATTTGCACGAAATTTGGCACAGCACAATGGATTAGGTCTAGAATGATGTGTGTTAATTTTCCTGAATTCGGTTCAGATTTAGATATAGCTTCTATATCCGACCAAATGAAAAATTTAGTATCGGTTGCAGAACGACATGTTTATGGATCCAATTTAATTTTACTGGTCCTTCAAAAATGCGACGTCTGTTAGGGTTCATCTGTTGAATATACCCAAAGAGGTGAAGGGTATCATATAGTCGGCCCCGTCCGACTTTACTACTTTCCTTACCGGTTTTTATTAGTGGCTCTGCTGTCATGTCTAATGTGGCATCTTTTACTCCTGACATACGTTTTTCCAAAGTGTGCGAGTAATGATCGACTTTTGCTCGTCTGTCCCAACGGCACAAAAAGCAATAATACTTTGGCCATCCAAAATATTGACAACTTTAAGGTCGCACCTCCAGTTCCTGTGTTTACCCTGTGCATATATCGCTGCGACATGTCTTCGAAAAAAACTAAAGGGCCCAAACATTTTAATTTTTACTTTAATTTTGTACTTATTTATTGAAAAAGCATAGCATTCTATAAACATACAATTGGGAGTGAATTTCTTTGGTTCATTTTGATGAATTTGTGAGGCTATAACTATGTGAAGGAGTCAACCAATGAAATCGGGGTTTTAAGAAGAGTTGTTTGATTTGCTATTGGCTATCTTCTTGTCATATATTGTTTGGTCGAGTCAGTAGCAGTTTCTGAAATAAGTGTGAAAAAAACATGGAAAAAGTATGTCGAAATTTTAATTTTTTTTGCAGTTGTGCTATTTTCAGTATGATGGTGATGTTTTATTGATTTTATCTTAAGAAAAAATTTTTAGATCTAATTAAGAGGAAGAATATTGCTTAAGAGAAAAAAGCAATATTTCGAATAGTTCACGAGATATAGACTCAATAATAAGTACGTATTATTCGAAAATTGTGTTAAAATCCACCTCCAGTCGAATATTTTAAAAATTAATTTAAAATAAAACCTTAGCTAATAATGCAAAATCCAGCTAGGGAGTTTCTTCCACCATCACAAGCTTCAAGATTTTGGGGGTCTCGATTGGTTCAAGATTTTAAAGTTGAAAAATGTGTCACTGTGTTATCAATTTTTATACTCTACACAACTATGTTGTCAGGGTATTATAGTTTTGTGCGGCTGCAAGCGTTTGTAACGTCGCGAAATATTGGTCCTAGACCCATCTTTAAGTATACCGATCATATCATATCTCGACTAGCTGAGTCGATCTAGACATGTGTGTTCGTCCGGCCATCTGTCCATTATAATTTGTAAACACGATACAGACCATAGTTATGTACCAATCTTCACGAAATTTTACATGTAGAAATTCACGAAATTTTACATGATTGGTTCTGTCCAATGAAGACCCCTATTGTTTTTGGTAAAGATCGGTTAAAATTTAGGGGGTGAAATGGACCAAAAACTTAACTTTTGTCTAAATTTCTGGTCGCTCCAGAGGCCGTAATTATAGCCTGAACATTGGACCAAAATTAAGCATATCTGTTTTGATAAAGATCGTTCAATATTTAGCGGGTCAAATGCACCCAGACTTTTGTGTGAATAACGACAAAATTTATATTCTACGGCGAATATATTTACTCTTGAAGGACATATACCCTATATGTTGGTAGTATATCCAAGAGGAAATTTTGACCTTTAAATTGATACCAATTATATTGTTGTATGTACTCGGATGTCGGAGTTATACGTACATATTTACAGGGGTCTACCCATTCTGACACTGTCTAGTAATACCATTGCTACATTGGATGGTGGATGGTTGCAGTTACGGACTTATAATTTCTATAATTGTTGGTGATGCTCAGATTATATTTTTGAAATTAAATGGACCGATCTAGAGACAGCAATTATAAGTCTAATATCACAAATGTTAAACGGGGAAAGGGGATGTGGCCAACTAATTAGAATAGTTGTTTTGATAATGGTTGGTCAATATTTGGCGGGTCATTTGGGCCATGACTTTTGGGTAAAAAAAAACAAAACAAAAGTTTACTCTTATGGCGTAACAGTTCTCCCCAGGAAAAATGATTCGGGAAAGATGTCAGGATAAACCTGTAAGGAAAATAGTAAAGTCACCAATTTTGGTATATTGTGCCTATGTGTCCATACAATTGCATGTCAATGTTCCCTCGAAGGAACATACTCATGCCTTGATAACAGCTATTCGGTACTTCGCACTGTAAAAAATTTAATCTTAATCAGACACCCGTTCGAAATAAGCTAGCTACATCTGCACAAACACACATCATTCCAGACTCAATTTAGTACCCTATGCCAAATTTCATGCAAATCGAAGGATATATAGGGACTTTGCTGCACCATTTACGTAAAATCTGTGGAACGTATATATGGGAGCTATACCGATATCTGAACCAATTTTCCCGAAACTTACCACTCTTCATTCCTGACTCAATTCAGTACACTAAGCCAAATTTCGTGCAAATCGAAAGATTTTTAGGGACTTTGGCGCATTATTTACCTTAAATCGGAAGAAAATATATACGGGAGCTATATGTACATCTGAACCGATTTCCACGAAACTTAGCACACATCATTCTAGGCTTAATTCAGTACGCTGTGCCAAATTTCGTGCAAATCGAAAGATATATAGGGAATTTGGTGCACCATTTACCTTAAATCGGACGAATATATGGGAGCAACCATTTACCTTAAATTGGACGAATATATATATGAGAGATATATGTAATTCCGAACCAATCTTTTCCCAATTTCAATAGGGGTCGTCCTTGAGCCAAATAAATGACCTGTGCCAAATTTCATCTAATTCGAATCATAAATGCGACCTGTACATTGTTTACAATGTAATATGGACAGACAGACAGACAGACGAACGGATTGACGGACATACATAAATCGACTTAGAAAGTTATTCTATGCATATTCTCAAAAGGAACCATGTGTCTATCTCGTTTCCTTTTGCCTGTTACAAACATCCTGTAAATATTTAAGTGTAACTCCCGCATCCGAGTACCTACGACAATATAATTGGTATAAATTTAAAGGTCAACCATTCCTCTTGGAGATACTATCCACTTCTCGGGTCTATGTCCTTTAGTGGTAAATATATACGATGTAGAATACAAATTTTGTCAATTTTCACACAAAAGTTAGGGTCCATTTGACCCGGTAAATATTGGCCGCTCTTTATCAAAACATGCATGCTTATTCTTTGGCCCGATCCCTTTCTACATGCAAAAATTCGCGGTGTTTGGGCCATAATTGCGGCCTCTAGAGCGACCAGAAAAACCGACAAAAACAAAGTTTTTGGTCCATTTTACACCCTAAATATTAACCGATCTTTTCCAAAAACAATAGGGGTCTTCATTGGCCAGAACCCATCCTACATGCAAAATTTCGTAAAGATTGGTCCATAACTGAGGCCTGTATCGTGTTTACAAATTATAATGGACAGACGGACGGACGGACACACATGTCTAGATCGACTCAGCTAGTCGAGATATGACGATCGGTATGCTTAAAGGTGGATCTAGGACCAATATTTCGCGGCGTTACAAACTTTTGGCCCTGACAACATGGTTTTGTAGGGTATAAATATGATCAGTGTAGGTCCATGGTTTGAAATAGTCCCCATACAAGGATAACACAACATTGAAACACCCCGTTTGAAGATTTTAGCCGCATTTTTCCATTGAAGTGGCTGTAATTTGGCTTTCCGGAAATATTGGAAATATTTTTGCAGAAGATTTTCTATATAGGATATAGCCCCCATATAAGGATCCTACCTATTTTAAGCGAATTTTCTTATCGAAGTGACTATAATTTGTCACATCAGATTCCTGGTAAATAAAAAAAAATGTTCCAAAAATAATTCAATATAGGTGAATTTTTTAAAATAGCCTCTATACAGCCTCTGTACACTTTTCCAATCTCAGGTTCTGTAATTTGGAATATTATTCTTTCATATCATGGACAACCTACTACCACATAATGCAATAACATCGTCGCCCATATGAAGGTCCCAGCCGATTTAAGGGATTTGGCATATTTTGGTCGGATTTTTAAAGCCTTTTATTTTGAAAATTTGGTCAATTTTTGGTCGAAATTAATTTTAAGGAAATTTTTAAATTTATTTCACAGTTTACATTCATTCCCATTTAATTACTTCTAATTGGCACAAACAAAACAATCAATTTAATATATCCTCCATATTGCCGGCTAACTTGAAATTTGTGACCAACAAAAGAATAATACCACACACAACAATGGTTATTACAGCATAATTTAAAATTTAAAAATAAAAACACCAAAAAAGTTGAAAGTGGCAACAATAAAAACGAAATTGAAAACAAACAAAAAAATATTCTGGAAGCGTAATCCTTCACAAATGCGGAAGAAATTTAAATATGTCAGTTTTAATCAAATGAAATTTTCATTTGGTTTTTTTTTCTTCATTTTTTTTTTTTTTTGGGCAGACACACATAAAAGTCCGGCTGGTAGTTTTTTTTATTATTTTTTGTTAATTTGTTTGGTGTGTTTGGGTTTCTTTTATTCATTACCTTTCTTTTGTTGCCATTTTTCGGATGGATGGATCACAGATGTTTTTGCGAAGGGAACGAGGGGAACGGTTTTGAAATTATGTTACAAAAAAATTTGCTTTGGTGGTTTCCCCAAAAAATGAGCAAAGAATTTATCACAATGCGGTTTTTTTGCTTGACTTTGCTTAAATTGCCACACGGCTTCTCACACACACGACCAGTAAAAAAACAAGTTTTGAACTGATGTCTGAAGCCAACAAAAAAAAAGAGATTTTTTTTTGCTTGACTTATGTTAATGACTTTGAATTAGATTCACGATTTTAATTTGCATAAAAATAATATTTTGCATTTTTAAAAATTAAATTTTTTTAATTTTTTCTTTTTTGCAATTTTTTTTTAATTTTTCACTTTAGCACAACACTTGCAAATTTTTTTTAACCGGTATTTCTTCACTTTTTTTCTTTTTATGGTTAACTAACACCCCCAAGCTGTAGTTGTTGGGTCATTTGCTAAATTCAAACTACCATAAAATTGTCAATTGTTGCGGTATTTATTGCTCTCAGGGAATGGCAAATTTCTTCATTGATATCTTTCTCTGGCACTCGTGATCGAATTACGTTCTCTTTTGTTGGCGTTGCTCACTTAAATGTGTAGTTTCTCTTTAGTTTGGTTTTAATCGTTTTTCTCTTTGAATCTTGAACTTGAATTTCTGTTTTCAAAATTAACAGCCAGCTGTCGTGTTTGTTATCAGAGGAAATGATGTTGTAAGGGGTGCGGGGGGAGGAAATGGTATAACAACAATAAACAGCTGTTGGAATTTTGTGTTGCTTTTGAAATTGGTCGAAAAAATAAACGATATTTTTATTAAAAGTTTAATTGCTGTTTGTTGTGGTTTGTGTATTAGAAGAGAACTTTAGTAAAGACATACACCCCATATGTTGCAGACAGGGTACGTCAGAAATATTAATTTTACAAGACAGTTGATCGTTTAATCGGATTTAGTTTAATTGGGAAAAGAAACACTTTGTACACAAATCCGTTCTGAGAAATTTAGTAGGCCAAATTATACTATTTGGAAAATACAAGCCCTTCGTGTTTGATGTTAGCTCAATTTTTATAACCACCATCATAATATGGAGTGGACATTAAATTGGTTAATGGAGATCACACAACGAAAGAATAAAGGAGAACGACGTTAAAAATCAAGTTTGACTCAATATTTGATGTATGTGTTTCCCCCCTTTATTTTATGCCGATATTTCATTCCCGTATATATTTATGACGATAGAGATCAATAATATTAAGATAGAACAGATAAATATGTGTCCGCCTTTTTAAACCATGTGGCTTTTATTTTGATCCCGGAGTATCTTGGAGAATGGAAGACATATTTGCAGAAAATATTTAATATAAGTCAATGTTTTGACGTTGCCTCTATATAAAGTTTCCGGTATTTGGAAGGTTTTAATCGAATTTTCTCGTCGAAGTGGCTGTAATTTGGCATTCCGTGTTTATGGAGAGCAGACAATTTTTTATAGCCCTCATAAAAATGTTTTGCACCTGTTTCGGCATTTGGAATGTTTTACACACCATTTCCATTGATGTGGCTGTAATTTGGCTTTACAGATTTTTTTAGGTCGAGATAAATCTATGCAGAAAAATTTTGACAAAGATCCCATATTAAGGTCCCGCCTATTTTTCTGTATTTTTGTGATTTTAGTCACATTTAAATAACATCATTGCCGAAATCTTTTTTAAGTAGATCGTCTCGCCCTATTTTCGATTTTATAAAGGTCGAAGCGGAACTCTCCCGCAAAAATAATTGTAATTTGGGATTCTGGTATCTTGGAGGTTTAAAAACATTGAAATAGAATATTTTTGAGGTTTTAAATGAATTTCTTTTCGATAGCATTCCGGATTCTTAGATGATGGAAAACATTTCTGCAGAAAAATGTCTCTATATAGGATCACATTTTAATATAGCATCCACATAAAGATCAAGCGCCGGTGTTTTGAAGGTCCTTTTCAACCGAAAAATTTGGTATTGGTAAATAACTTTTTTCGAAGAAAATGCTTAATTTTTGTAGGTCCATGTTTTGACATTGTCCCCATATAACGTTCTCAATCCATCCTATGTATTCGATTGTCCTAGTCAAATGTTACAACCGATGTGGCTTTAATCTGGCATTCTAAATTCTTGGATGATGGAAAAAAATCTTCGGAAAAATTTGTCTATTGGTCCATATTTTAATCAATTATATAAAGGTGCCATCCCTCCATTTTGTATATTTAGAGTCATCAGTAGATGTGAGTGATTTGGCGGTCCTTGACATGCCTTCACGTTGGCTGTTGACGAACGTTCTTTTCTGAAAATATATATTAACGTATGTGTTAATGGTACTATTGGCTTTATCCATAAGTATACTGGATCTACATTTGTTGGATCGTATGGACAATTAAATGGGTGTTGTGTATCATGAAAGCTTTGTTTCCGGACAATGCGTTCTCGACACGAATTAAGAATAATGCTATATTGTGCCTGAATGGAACGGATTTGCTTTGAGATGAGCCACTCACTGTCCGATATGGTAGGAGGATGTTAAAGTAGGCCTTAGTTGCCTATGTAGCCATTTATGGTTTCAGACACCACCATTTTATGCCAATCCCACGGCGGCAGGTTCTACGATACCGGATTGACCCGATTTATTTCGGCCAGCGGCTGCCAATCCAGTTATATATGTTTGTATTGTTTTTCTGTTTTGGGAGCAACATATCCCGTTATGCTTGCTCCGGATTCTTTTGGTCCGTGCCGGGATCGAACAAAACCCCGGAACAAAACATCCGTAACGGGAAGTCATCTAAAGCGTTGGGCCCAGATGGAATATCTATGTGTATACTGCGGATCATCAACATGGATTCTGTAAGCAACACAGTACAACAACAGCGTTGCACGCCATTTCCACGCATATAAGTAGAGGACTTAACCAGAACCGGCCGTGCGATAGAACAGTGTTTGTAGCGCTTGACCTATTAAAAGCCTTGGATACTGTCAACCATGCCACGCCATTTCCACGACATAAGAGAGGACTTCTAGAACCGGCCGTGCGATAGAGTGTTGAAACGTTGGATAATCAAAGCCTATATGTGTGGACGCCAGTCGTACGTGGAGTTCCGGAACAAGAAGTCCAAACCCCGTAGAGTTAAACAGGGAGTTCCCCAGGGTGGAGTGATTTCTCCGGAACTGTTTAACCTCTACCTTTCCGGTATTCCACGCCCTCCGGACGGCATTGAAATTGTTACGTATGCAGATGATTGTACGATTATGGCGTCGGGTCCCATTGTTGAAGACATATGTGTGAGATTGAACGCCTATCTCATCGATTTAGCAGCATTCTTCAAAGGGAGGAATATGAAAATATCCGCCTCGAAGTCGTCAGCCACACTATTCACCACATGGACTGCGAAGATGAGAACGCCGTTGAATGTGCAGGTCGAGGGGCATACAATTCCGACCATCAACTACCCCAAAATACTCGGGGTCACATTCGACAGCATGTTCAAATCGTCCGCGCAAACCACAGCTATTTGCGATAAGCTGAAAAGTAGGAACAAGGTCCTCAAGTCGCTTGCCGGCAGCACTTGGGGCGCAGATAAGGAAACCTTGTTGAATTCTTACAAAGCGATAGGTCGGTCTATGGCTAGCTATGCGGTTCCAGTGTGGTCTGCGAATTCCAGAGATACGCAATGGAGAAATATTCAGACCTGTCAGAATGCCGCCCTGAGGACAGCGACAGGGTGCCTCCTCATGAAACCAGTGGACCATCTTCATGAGGAGACGAAGATCCTACCCCTCAGCATAGCAATATGCTTTCGTTGCAGTACCTGCTCGGGTGTTTCAGGGACGATCATCCCAACCATCATATGGTGGATTGGACTCCCCCACCCAGGCGTGTCAGGAAGGATCTGCATGATCTAGAGAGAGAGGTGCAACGATACAAAAGGGAGCCTCTAGATCAAGTTGCCTATCGAGCAGGTCTGAATGGCATTCATACAGATGCCGTAGCCGCAGCGCTGAACGGTTACAAAGTGAATGCCGTCCTCGGAGCTCACCCCCACCCATAGCAGCTGAAGAACGTCAGCTGCCCAGACAAACCAGAGTAGTTTTGGCTGGGTGGATGGTGCAGTCGGCTCAATTCGTATTGGGCACGGATTGATGACTAGGTGCAGGATGTCTGCTCAGCATGTGGTACAGGCCCTCATACCACACTGCACCTGTTCAATTGCCCAGCCAAACCTACTCACCTCACTCCGGAAGATCTGTGGTTACAGTCAGCGGAGGTAGCTGCATTTCTAAATCTGGAGACAGAACTGGAGGAAACTTAACAGGAAACATACAATTCATAAAAACTGCTACAACAACAACCATTTTAAGCACAGATTTCATACCGTTTACTGTCGACGATCTGTTGACGTTCGATGGAATGACGTCTTAGATGCCTTCACTATATCACGAATTTGTCGCGGAGGTGGATCAGCCATCACTGTGTGATGGTGGACATAGCTAGAAAAGTTTGCACTTAAATCGCCAACGATTGCTTTGACTTTACCTACATGTCTTCTTTTCCAACAAAACGACGTGCGCCAGAAGTACAATATTCACTAAATCTATGGAGGAAAGACTTTGAGTTGGAAATTGAAAGCAAGATAGTACGGAACCATGGAATCTTACGGCGAAGAAAAGTATGCGAAGAAAAGTATGGCGGCAGAATAAGTCAAGGAGCTGCCATCTTACGGAAAAGTAGTCAAGAATCACTATAGGGAATAACAATTCATGGGGAAAATAAAGAAAGAGCTCTTCAATGGCCTGGAATAAAACAATAGTCTTTATTGCCGGATATAATTAGGTGTGAAAATATAGCTGTGAAATATCGGTATGAAATGAGCTCATGGAAAGTTGAACAAAAATCCTTTTTTATACCCTTCACCACACAGCGGGTATTGGGTATTGTGTCTGTGCCTATATTTGTGTCTGTGCCTATAACTCGGTCCGATTTAATATAAAAGGTGCACCA